ATGATTAAAATAACAACAAAAAAAGAAAATGAAGGTAATCCTCAACGAGGTAGATTTGTGTAATAATAGAAAGAGTGCTGTGATCTATTAATAATCTCTTGGGCATGGGAGGGGGACAGGGCCACATTCGTTTTAAGCTTTTGTACCCCGTACATTTGTACCATTTGTACTCCTTACACTGGGAGTTAATTCTTGTCGTTTCCATGGAAAACCAGTTTTATAAAGGGACTGATGATACTCTCAAAAAAAAGAAACAGAAAGTGCTATTTTCTAGCTAGCCGACTATTGTCAAATTGGTATTGAGACCAAACTTGGTTACAGAAAAAGACCAGGTGTTTAGGGCGGAGATCAGGAGCCAAACCCAATTCAGGAAGGTTGGCAGTAGGCACACCAAAGGACTGTCCTTAGAGGGTTGGGAGAGAAGACTTCCCATTGTGTCTCAAACTTCAGGGAGTATGGACAGAGGAGAAGGGTGTCCCCTGGTCCCTGTTTGCACCCATCAGTCAGGAGGTGGCCGGGTAACCCTGAGAGGTGTCCTGGTCAGAGCTAGGGGCCCAGTGGGACAGTCCTGGACTCTCTGGAACAGGAAGGTTCCCTGGCGCAGGCCTGTGGCTTTAACCGGCAGACAGGATCCTCGGATCAGAGAGACACAACGGAAGCCGGGGAGGGGGGAGGGGGCCTGCCTTTATGGCTGGTAAAAATGGAGGTTGGTCAGGCTTTTGTTCAGGGTGAGAGGAAGGGGAAGCAGAACACGTTAGAGAAAGCACTGCAGAGCTGCAAATGCAAAGCATACAAACAGGTATAAAAGGTTCCGATACACCCTCTGCGTTCCAGTCTAGGCAGAAGGTGAGTGACTGCTTGGCCAGGTACTAGGAGTCCTGTTATCAGCAGGAATCCCAGGAGGTAAACACAGCCACAAAAGGCTGGAGGCCACTTGAGAGAAGATAGACAGAGAAAAGATGGACATGAGAAAGTGGCCTTATCATCACACCCCTTTTCAGGGAAAGGCAGTTATTTCCAGCAACTCTTGGTACGAGGGTTGCAGAATAAACCCCTGCAGTGGCGCCACGCTCAGCTTCCTAGCGTACTTGCTTTTCAGGGCTTTCAGCGAGTTAGCCTCCCGCGGACCCTATGTTCCTGTATGAGTTTTCTGGTCCCTGGTGTCCAGAGTGACAAACAAGACAAACGAACATACACAGAGAGATACTGACCAGAAGTTGCTCGTTCAGACAGGTTCGAGAGGAGAAGAGGACAGGTGGGCTACGTCCCAGCTGAAGCAGGGCTGGAATGGCACGGAGCCCACGTCCCTACCTCCCCCGGGCTTTGGACACCCAATGTAAAGGTGAAACTGAGGTACAAGGAGACAGACAGACATAACTGACAGCACAAGGGAGAGCAGAAACAGAAATAGCTTTATTAGGGGGGAGCTCCCGGACGAGGTTCTGTGAAGCCGTGCTCAACAGCTGGGGGCGTGGGTTTTTAAAGGGGTGGTGAGGAATGTATGGCAATTATGGCAATTAGCATATGGGGTCTGGACACTCCGAGAATTGCTTGTCGACTCTGCAGCTTTCTTTGAACCCAGAACATCTGGTTTCACTGGTTATCTTATCTGGGGCCGCCTGCTGCTGACCTTTCGGATGTGCAGGGAAGCACGTGCAGGGCCCGGACCTGCTTCAGCTTAGTTCAAACAGGGCTGCCTAGTTCAGTCCCTGCCCGAACAGAAATGATGCTACTTACCAATCCAGTGTGAGGATTTTGGTCTTCTTGACATTGAGTTGTCATCCAACTGAAGGCTGCAATAGTTGATCATCAGCAAGTGCTTCAAGTCTGCCTCACTTTGAGCAAGCAAGGTCATATCATCTGCATATCACAGGTTGTTAATAAGCCTTCCTCCAATCCTCATGCTGCATTCTTTCTCATCTAACCCAGCTTCTCTGACGATTTGTGCAGCATACAGATAGGTTGACTGGTAACGACTGTTTCTTTAGTGTCCGCAGCAAGAGGGAAGTATGAGTCTTGAGGGGAAGGAGACAGGGTTTGCAGTCACCTGAAAGGAAGGTTGATATTCACCCAACAAGAGGCTTTGTCACTTTCAGCGACCAGCCTACTCCTAGCCCCCAGCACTTCATAGTGACCTGGATCCGCTCACCCAGATAAAATATATTTAAACTCTTGGACACTCAAAAACCAGGAACTTTTTGAGATCCCAGACCCCTTTGAAGGATTCCCTGGGGTGCCATGGTCAAGCACTTAACTGCTAATGGAAAGGTTGGCAGTTTGAAACCATCGGCCGCTCCATGGGAGACAGCTGTGACAGTCTGTTTCTGTAAAGAAAGTCCGGTCTTCAAATGCCGTATCATTCAGCTTCCACCTTTCTTATAGACAATAGACAAGTCCAAAGCCGTGATCTGCCCACTGTGTTTGATTTTCAACAGTAGTTTGCCCATCTCTGATGTCATGTTTTCTGCAAAACAACTCAGAGGAGTTGTCAGATGGCTGTTGAGATTGTGGATGAAAAAGCAAAACTCAAAGAAGCCTAGGAAGTTGCCAGCATCACACTTTGAGTGGAAACAAGGCTGGGGATCAAACCCTATGATGGCTGGTAGCCCTTTTTACAGACCACACCCCCTAAATTGAAATATCCATACCTCACGATGTTTTTCCTTATGGGCTATTGTGAATCAGAGAGTTATAGCAGCACTTGGTTGTATATGTGCAATCAAGTCATGCCCCAAAGAACTTACTCCTGGCATGAGAATGCCCCGTATCAGTGCTGTGCCATGCCATGAGCAATAGAGATGTGACAAGAGTACCTGAGAAGCCAAATTTTTCATCTCAATTTCTGGAAATCAATTTTAATGTGAATAATCCCAGGAGATGGGGGTTGTGGTTGGGGGGTGGGGTTGGCAAGATAGAAGTAATCTGAATGTTACCTAAGAGACTGGCTAAATGACAAATAGCCCATATTATGAACCACTAAGCAAGGCCACATGCATGCAGAGAATCACAAGGTTAGTGGTTCAAACCCACCAGCCACTCTACAGGACGAGCCTCTCTGCTCTGGGAAAGATTTACAGTGTTGGAAACCCCCCTCTAGGGTCACTGAGTTAGAAATGACTCCATAACAGTGGGTTAAGTGTCTAGATAAAGACATGTACATATGCAA